GGGAAAGAGAATCAAAGGGACGCGAGTGCAGTATTTATAGGCAATGTTGCATGCAAGTGAAGAGGCAAAACAGTTGTAATTCTAAAAGTTAGTGGGGCGTGGTTCAAAGAACCATGACGTTGGGACGTGACCACCATGATTAGCCGTGTCTTGGAAAACATGGCGCAGAAAGGCGCCACCATTATTTCAGACTAGAGATGACGCGTGAAAGAATTGACAGAAATCAATGATGATTTTGTTGCATCACACGCAAACACGGTCGAAATTCCATAAGAGTCAAAACGCTCAGTTTCTTGGTCGATAGAGTATATCGTCGAAACTGGGTTTTGATGGGACATCTTGTTGACCGGAAGTTTCGACCAGAGAAGTAGCAACGCTGTAATTGGTCGACAGACTCAATAGTCTATTGAGGAAGAAGGTCGACATCGACAAACATAAGATTGTGGGGTTTCCCCCTGATGGCGCCAGTCGACTGGGACAACTAATGTCCATGCAAATGGATGTATGTTTGAGCGGGAAAGGGATTTGAAATCCAAAGACATGGGAAGTTATGGAAGTATTGGGCGAACACGTGGCATCACCAGATTTAACGTGGCAGATATTTATTTCTCTATTTAAAGCAATGTATGTTTTTGTTCTAGGAGGCGCTTTTTGTAAGATTATAAGAAAAATACTCTGAGTACTAAATCATTACGAGAAAAGAGTTTTTCCCTCCTACAAGATGTACGATCGCGTCTATTTTCCCTTTTTATAAGCAATTTATGTCATTAATTCCAAATGTGTCTTTGCCTTTTTTTTATTCCTTTTACATAAGTTATTTCTCATTCCTTTGCACACCTTTCTAAGTTTTCAGTCTCACTTACACATGATTCCCAACCTATTACAAATAGACTTCATTGCACCATTCTTCCCACACATCCCAAACCAAGCGTTCTGGGACTCGTTTGACCGGTCCCGCAAGTAAACCTGCGTTAGGATGTCAGAGGTGGTTCGCGTGAAAACTGCCGGCGAACAAGCGCATGCAAGCAAACTTCATGAGCATGCGCCATTCCCTGTGACTCCTATGTTGTATTTTTAATAATTAGTTTAACAACAATATAATAATAAAAAAAATCTTTAATAAAAAATATATCATATTATTATTCTATCAAATAGAATTACACAACGACTGATGAGAATTTTAATGTCCCGTTCGATCGTAACGTCCATCGGTTCCGCACCTTTGTGCATTCGCTTGCCTTCTAGGTCTCTCATGAATTCTCTGAGGTGTTTGGAGTCTCCTAGTATTCGCCTGAGCCAAAGGTGGTTTGTGAAAGGCTCCTATGATATCTAACAAATTTCCGATCATATCTCCCCAATAACCAGCGCTGCCGTAGTCGAGTTTGTTGCCCATGTTGTAATAGTTGGGCCGTCTTGGTTGGTTATGTGTGGGGGAGCTAGTTGGTTGAATTTGGTTGATGTTTGGGTTTTCATTGGTTGGATAGTTTGGTAGAATTTGGTGGAATCATATGCCTCATCGTGGCTATCGTAAGATGTGGTTGCGGCATATGGTTGTTGGTGGTATGGGTCATGCTCTTGATTTTGTGTTTGGGTATGTGGCATGAATTGGTTGCGAGGTTGGGTGTATGTGGGTTCGTAATCATGTTCGATTGGTTATTTAGTCTATCTGGCATGGTGATGTTGTAGGGTTGGTTGTTGAGTTTGGGTAGGTTAAAAATGTTGTTGGGTTTGGTAATATTAAGAGGTTGGTTATTGGGCGTATGATGACGAAGCTCGTTGGCATGGTGTCATACCCCTAATTTTTCCTACTTGCACATTATATTCATTTGTACTTCCATCGAGTAGCCATATTCAGAAAATCCAGAAAAAATATGTTGTTTCTGCTTGCCTAACTTCAGTTTTCATTCAAAGGCATCAAGGTCAGGGTATGCACGATTCGAGTGGTGAGTGTTTGAGGTTGCAGTTAGGGTTTGTTTGACAAGTCAAGTCAGTTGTGAATGAGTCAAGTTTTCAGGATGTGCTAGATTCAAGTGTGTAAGTCCAGAGTATGCCTACGAGGGGGGGGGGGGGGGGTGAATTAGGCTTAGAGAAACTTTTTCCGATTTTTGGTATTCTTTAATTTTACTTCGGTTATGTTCTTGGTGATGGATGCAGTAGAAAGCATAAAGAAAGTGGACACCAAGGTTTATAGTGGTTCCCCTCACAACCCGAGAGTACTCCACTCCCCTTTCAACACGAAAGAGAGTTTTCACTATTGTTTAAGAAAGTACAACCTATCACACCATCAACCGGTGAGGCCTACTAACAAACAATTTCAACAACTTAGGATGCAAGAACAATCCTCTTGCAACACTCAACCCTTGTGTCCAACAATCCTGGGTCACAAGTCAAATACAAGTAATTCTAATGATTTTATGAGAGTAATAGTAGTGATATCAATACAAAGATTGATCTTCTCCTATTGATCAAAATTCACTCTTTTGATCTCAATACAAGTGTTCAATGCTATGCATATGAAAAATATGAACAATATGAACACTTTGAAGATATTTGAAAATATTTGAATTTTAGTGAGTTTGATTCAATAAATAATTTGAAAATTGTAGGTGTCACTTTGTCAATTTGAATTTTACAGAATTTATATCAGTCAAAACACCATTTCAAAAGGGTATATGAAAGTACAAAACAATGGATGGAAGGGTATAAAATTTGAACACATTTTGAACTTGAAAGGAAACAATTTTTCAGAAAACGTTCAGTGTTAATCGGTTAACCATATAGGTTAATCGGTTAATACTGTAACGTTGGCCCAAAGAATTTAAAATTTGAGGGCGTTAACCGATTAACCCATATGGTTAATCGGTTAACACTGTAAAAACCAAAATTAACTAACTGTGGTAACAGGTTACTGGGAATGCATAACCGATTACACCAATACCAAAATCACTTTTCTTCAGCTTATTTGATTTATTTTGACACATGTAACTTGTTACACACCCGTGTTAACCGATTACAACACTTGAATTACTAATTTTTTTAAACATAAATAACTCGACAAAACCGGCATAATATGAAAACTGAATACAAAATTTTCTAATTCATGCAAGATAAATAAGTGAACCCTTTCTAGGAGTTTGTCTTAAGCCATTAGATCCAATTCAACAATCTTCTACAATCTACACCATATCTATCCAAAGCAATTTCAATTGTCTGACCATATATAAGTTCAATCTCGCACTATATATATTTTCATTCACTCTTGCAAACAGGATACACTTCATTGACTTTAGGGCAGTTGCCCCACTTGGTTGTTTATAATGTTCAAAATTTTTTAATAATTTTATTTTTTATTTAATTAAATTCAAATGTTGCCCCCATAAAATAATTTAATATTTTTAAAACTTTAATAATTATATATTAATAGTGTAATAAATTTTTAACTATAATCTAATAAAATATGTCATTCTATCATATTATATAAGTAATTTAAAATTTTCAATTTGATTTGACGAAATAGATGGTCGTCATTAATTAATAATATAAAATTAATTTATACTGTTGATGTATCATTTATTTTTCTATTTTAAAAAATAATAATTTTAAAGTATAAAAATATTTAAAAAATATTATATATTTATTTTATCACTTTTACAATTTTATATATATATATATATATATATATATATATATATATATATATATATATATATATATATATATATATATATATATTATTTTTTATTTTTTTGTCCCCACAAACTAAAATTTTTAGATCCATTCCTTCTCGCAAACCACACTTCTAAAATTTTACTACATACCAAAGATTTTCTACAGCACCAGCTTTACTCAATGCATCATCAATTGTTTGTTTCACCCCAAAACAAATATTATATTTATTTCAAAATAATTAACATTTAAGGTTTTTGAACCCAGATCAAAAATTCAATAATATTATTATAAAATATTACACTTTTAATAAATTTACTTTATTAAAATATTAAAAATAGTATATTAAAAGACATTATTAAAAAATTCTAATCACTACTACATTAAAAAATAGAAATAACAATTATTTTAAAATAAAATTTATTTGTTAAAATGACGTACATTTTAAAACAAAGTAAATAATAAAATGAGATTGAGTAAACAAAAGTAGTAAGAAAATTTGATAAGCAAAAGTAGTAAGAGAATTTGATAAGCAAAATAATGCCTTAAAAAATATATCTAACCATAGTTTTCATCCTACTAGTTTATTCCATTTACTGAAATTAATCTACTTAAATTTAAATTCAAATTTTTTTTTTGAATTTTTATACTTAAATATATATACTTAATCTACTAGTTTATTCCATGATGATTCTGTGTTAACTGCTTTTTTCTTTTATGACAGCAAAAAAAGATTCTGTATTTTTTTTCTATAAAAAATATACAAATTTTTATAGATTTTGAGAGGAGTAAGATGGAAAAGAGATAGGAGTTGATTGTGTGTGAAAATTAATTAATGTTCTCATTTTAATTTTCACTAAATCTAAGCCGTTAATTCAAACCATTTGCATCTTATTTTTTCATCGGTTAGATTTGTTCTTATTTTCCAATTGTTGGGTCGGTCAAACAAGATACGAACAAAAAATATCATGCCAGCACATTCACAATAAATTGGCATATTTCCATCTGTGAGATCTAGCATTTATTTTTTGTTAGTTTTAATTGATTTTTTTGGTACTATTTCTGCATTAAAAAAAACTCTTTCGTACTTTTACTCGATTATTACGAAGATATTTATTTGTCGGAACAACATGTGGTTTTTATCTTTACTCTGAAAAGTTACAATCTATAAACATTAATAAAGTTCTTGATAAGTTAAAATAACTAGTTAAATTCCACACATATACATAAAATTAACATGAAAATTGTGAAACTTGATTCTTAGTTAAGCTGAAAACATGAAAACATGTTGGAGTACTTACTTCACTAGAAAGTGTTGAGAATTGCAGAGTGTTTTATTCAAGCTCAAACTTTTTTCCATGTAATGGAATTGGAATTTCATTTTTGAGATTCCAAATATCATCACCCCAAACAACATCACTATAGAGAGAATTAAAAGCTTCACCCATCATGAAATCCATATCCCAACCAGGGAACCAAGTTGAGCCCCATGACATTTGTTCATCCACAATACTACTACCTCCCAACCATGATGGCATATACTCTTCCCTATTATTCCAACTCATCACATTACTACTAATCACACCCTCCCTTATTGTTGTTGTTTCCTCACACATATCTTTGATTTCCTTCTTCTCTTCCATCACCATGCTCACCTTTTGTTCATCATGCTCCTCTTTCTTTCCTTTTTTCTTCTCCATTGTTGAAACCACATCTTCAACATTGGGAGGATTTTTGAGGTTGTTAAGACTATTCACACTTGCGCCTCTTTGCCTCTTCATGTTGAAACGAATCTAATTTGTGTGAGTGTGAGTAATGGAAAAGAATAGTGAAGATAGATTGTATTTATAGAGGAAGTTAAGTAAATTGGGTGGCAAGTAGCTACCTATAGCTACTACTAGGAAGCCGAGGATAAAAAAGTAGCATGTTGTGAGTAAGTACTAAATGATGTGATGTGAATAGTTTTGAAGGATTTTATATTTAGCTGTCATGTCATGATATGTACTAGTACTACTCCTTTCATCTCATTATATTATCTCATTATAAAATCATAAAGGTGTCTTATATATTTATTTTTAAAAAATAATTATTATTTTGAAATATTAAAAATATATATTAACTTTATTTAAAAAAATATTCTTGTGTATTTTACTTTGTTGATTTTTAACTATCCTAATATCTATTACCTCTATCAAATTAAATGTCACATTTATATTTTATACAATATTTTAAAAATAATTAAATTGATTTTGGTGATAAATTATAGTTGAAGGGAAGGTGTCAGATGAGTTTTACAAAATTTAATATCTCTGCATCCTTAATATTTTTATTAAAATTTAATGATAGAATACGACTAATTGATATTGATTCTATTTGGAATGGTTGATATTCAGAGTTGATATGAAAATGGTCAGTAAAGATATGATAGGATATCTCAATGACTTTCAGATTGGGGTTGGGATTTAGGAAAGTATTGAAGTCACTTTGCACAGTGCTAACAGGGCGTTAAACAAGTAAGTTGGAGATAGTTCTTTGGCTATACTCATGGCAAATTTCTCAAATGTGTTCAACATGGTCGATTGACCAACTCTTTTGCACGAGGTCAGAGTGATATGTTTGTCTATTTCTTTATGGGTTGAATTTCTTTATGGTCAAGAATTGAGGTTATGCCTTGGGTGGACATATTATATATGTCAGCCACTGAAGTGAAACAAGGTGACTCATTAAGGTCGCTCCATTTTGCTTTTGTATTACACTTACTCATTCATCATATTAGACACAATTGTAAGCTTCATCTTCATGTCTGGTATTTTAATGATGAGACCATCATATGACATTATGAGGATGTGGCTAAAACCCTTGACATTATTCGGGAGACGGGTCCAAGATTAGGTCTCAAATTGAATATTCGCAAGACTGTGATTTTTTTGCCTTTGCGTGATAATAGTGAACTTCGCGGGGTTATTTCGTTCAGACATTCTAAAGTCGGTGTTAGAGGTGAAGTTACTTGGAATGGCTGTTAGTCGAGATGAAGGCTTTATTAAAGGATTGTCCTTGAAGAGAGTTGATATGATTGTTGAGCTAATGCATCTTTTTCCACAATTAAAGTATCCTCGTAGTGAGCTTCTTCTACTTTAATTATGTATGAGTACACCAAATTGTTTTTTGCTCTAAGAATGTTTCAAACTAATCATATGACAAAAGCAAATATTTGGTTTGATAATGAATTGTGAAGATCAGTTGAAGACATTGTGGTTGACAAATGTCTTTTCTTTAGGGACCTTCAATGGATGGTGGTTTCTTTGTCCATTAGAGTTGGGGGATTATGGTTGTACTTTGTGGAAGATGTCATCTAATTATATGCTTTTGTGGTTTCTAGGGCTCAATCTTGGGTGTTACTAGATCATATATTGAGAGGTAGTGGGATATATGGTGTGGACTCTGATTTCAACAGAGCTTTGAATGGTCTTAGTGTTGTGATTCTTGATTTTGACCTTAGTAGTTTTACTAGTAAGGATATTGTCCATCATAAAGCACAACATGTTTTGACAAGTGCCCTTTTTAGTAAAAGTGTTTAAGAAATGGAGATAAAGTTTGATATGACCATAAGAAAGCAAATAGTTATTGGTTGTTTGCAAGCCGCACATACTCAAGACTTTCTCCCTACTATTCCTATTGATGGGCTAGGCCAACACATGTTACTGGTAGAGTATCATACTATTATTACATATGTCTTATGATCCCTTTAATTTCTATTAATGAGGTTTTCTCTTTTTGTTACAAAGTGTGCTTGGATGCATTTGGGAAACACACAATTCGTTGTAAGAAGCTATCAGGCTTCAAATATCGGCATGTTTTATTATGGATATCATATTTAATATACTTCGGCGGGGGCGAAGTATCGGTGAAGAAAAAGATGTCTATAAATATTTTATCTGACCCACATAAGAAATCGACACTCAAGTCAATAGATGTTCTAGTGTAGAATTGCGTTGGAGGAAACACATGCACATGTCAACTTAATTGGAGTTTCCTACTGGTGGAACTGAAAACTATAAGTTTTATTGTGGGACTGACAATTCTCAAAGTAACTTTAAAAAGTGGTTAAACATGAAAAAACTTGTTCCAACAATCACTATGATTTCATTTATGTTTGACACTTTTATTTTTCTAGCACCAAAGAGTTCAAATAATACTCTATCTTACTATAATTTAATAGAAATCAAAAACACCTCAATTTACCAAAACTAATTAATTATTTAAATTTATATAATAATTATCATCAATAACTCTTTAATATGCATAAATAAATGTATAAATATATAATATTATAAATAGCAACATATTGATGGTGTAGAAAATTGAACTCCATGCAAGAAATTTTTAATGAGCGCATGGAAATTTTTAATAACAAAGTACAAAAGAATATCACCCTTGGGAGAACATAAGGGAGCAAGTACCAAGTTGGTGCTACTAATATTAGAAGTAGCTTCTGCTAGAACAAAATCAAACATTTCATCTGGACCGTTTCTTCTAAAGTGGGTTTAATGCAATGAATTTTTTCGGTGAAAATGATGTCGACACTATTAATTATGTACTTTAACTAAAGGTTATCCCATTTTTTATTTTGCCTATTCAATCTTATTAAAATAATGCTTCCTCGTGACTTTACCTCGTGATTTGTTTGCAACTACATTGATCTCTGTTTTTTTAATGTTTGTAAAACTTGTAATAAATAAATAAGGGAAAAGTGTGATTTCTTTTCTTGGGAAGGTAAGTCTTAAGTTTCGAGTTTCGAAAAAGGCTAGAGCTATGTAAGTGTATAAAGCATTTTATTTTACTCCATGGATACAAGTTAAAAAACTATTAATATGAAGAGTAGTTTTGATTAATTAACTTTTAAAAAAATAAATTGTATCTTTAATTTATGGTAAATATTATTATTTTATTTGAGTATTTTAATGTTATGTACAAATGAAATAAAACAAATGAATATATTTTATTTTGATATAAGAATGATTTTAAAGTTCAATGTTTAACATACATTTTTATTAAAGTTTGACACTAAGAGCAACTTTAGTGGAGGGTTGTTAAACCAAAATTTTGTATAATTTACGTTAATAATAAAAAATTTGCATTGTAATAGAGCTGACATGACATCTAAATGAACTAAAATTTAGTTCTTATTATCTATATAGTTAACGTTACCTATGTAAAATATATTATAATATTATTTATTTAATTAATAAAATATTTCAACAGCATTAAAGTAATGACATGATATTTGAAAATAGTGGAGTCAAATTTTGGTTTCTTATAGAGTCATCATTAAAGTAAAAACTATTCAAATCAACTATAAATTTTTTAAATCCTACAAAACACTTTGGACCCACAAAAAATATCTTAATTTACCCATTTAATTTATTCCAATTAAAGATGCTCTGTGTAGTTAGTAGTCCTTTCGATGTTATTTATAAAAAATAAATTACTTTTTAAATTTTTATTTAATAATTAATATATTTAGTTTAATAATAGATACATTAATTATTTGGTGAATTTCAAAACGAAAAAAAAAACTTGTTTCTTATAAATAAAAAGTAAGATAGTTTTTTTTATCCCTTAATTTTATCTTGGGTTCTATTTTGATCCTTTAATTTTTAAAATATTCAAATTGATTCTGTTTCGGACTAATCCAATGACTATGCATAGCCCAATCCATTTCTGCTCCCATAACAGTCCAATTGCCTAAGTTTAGCCAAATGGAGAAGGACATTTACCTTTCAGCTCCTCCAACAGGGGAGATTGACCAGTTTACCCTGAGCAAACACTCCTCCTCGATAAGACTTGTCCGTCACACACGGTTCCACCATCCAGAAACAGTCAAGACGCTTGTGCCCGTAATTGCGCCTCTGCACGTGGCAACGACTAGTTATGGGCACCTTTGTCCGTTTCAACGGCTAGTTCTGGCAGTTGCCTATTCTTCGGGAAACGACTATCTCGCCCCGAAAATAGGGACCAATGGTCAAGCGCTGAGGGCGTTATAAAAACCCTCTCATTTGAGAGGGTCGGGTATTCAATATTCACCCTGATACACACATATTTTGTACTTGTCTTCTTTCCCCCAATTCTTACTTTAGCATCAAAGTGCCTTGCAAGTACACCCCATCATCCTCTCTCACACCCAGCATCACATGTGTTTTTCTCTGGTCCACTTCAGGTTCTAATCAGCCGTCAAGATCAGTGGCGTCGTCTGTGGGAATCTTGTTATCCCCGTCTTTTCTCCCCTCATAGATTTGAGACCAAAACAGTTCTTCCAAATTTTGATCATGGCCAATCGTGACATCACTTATGATGCTTGCAACTCTGCTTTCATCCTCGTCAGCAAGACTGATACTGACGGAGCAACCACCTCTCTTGGGGGCGACGTCCTCTGATAAAGGGACGGAGCCACCGCTTTTCCATCCCCCGTTCGCACATATCACAACAAGGTTTCACTCGTCCAAGAGCACTTGTCAGTTCCAATTCCGCCCAGCGCCGATCCGGCCATAGCTGCCCTTCTCGAGTTTCTCAACAAGACCAACCTCACAATCCTCAATTAGAGCGTGATGATTGGAGCACTAGAAGAATCTAGTCGTCCAAGTCCCCTCCGTCAAGGAAAGAACGACAACGACCATGAAGTCCTCTTCCCCGACGCGAAAGAAATTGTCAAACGCCTCTGGAGCCAAAAACCCAGACCATCAGAAAGTGCGACCACATCTCTCCTCGGAACTAGCATTCCTCG